GATGTCGCGATGGTGCAGACTGCCCCAACTGCCATGAGTGCTTCTGGACAAAGGCCTGGGAAAACAGCCATCCGCGATCCTTGACTGCTGAGAGCAAAGATGCGGTGCAGTCCACTTATGACCTCAAGTTTGAAGGTTGCAGGATTCTGACAAGGATGAGAAAGTCTTGAATGCAGATAACCTATTGTTATCCTTCTTTGTGGTCAGTGGCTCCATTGATGACCAACAAAAATAAAGCTTGAATCTTTCTCTGCTTCGATCTGCCGCGCAGTCACGCGGCTTTGGCATCAACATGGCAGAGGCGATGGCTGGAACGTGAAACTGTTGTATGACATTCCAATTTTGACCAAAATGAAAAAGACTATGCTGCAATGCATTTATAATCATTCATCACTTGTCAATAGTCATTTGTCTCGTGTCCTTGACATTGTGATATTTATCTAATTGCATCCAATTGCGTCAATCATTATTCCTCTGGTGGTTGTCTAGCGCGGCATCCATCAAGGCATTACCATTCTCCGAGGGCACACGTGGCCATCCGGACAGGCCGGTGCTTTTGTGCTGGGGATTCCATGTGTGGCAGAACAGCTCCTGGACATGGTTTGTAAATGTTTGCAAGCTGACTATCGTTTTTGATGAAACCATATGAGACATATCAGAGCAAATTCTTCTAAATCTTCGGAGACTATGATTTGCAAGTAGCTCCTGTTGTTCTCTGAACTTTTTCTGGCACCGTTTGATTTCAGAGCGATTGGCCGATCATCAGGTAGTTGAGGAAAATATGTTTGCTATATGACTGCTATGACTTTGATGTTTCATAGAACATGTCTCAACGCTTTTTCCCAGCTTTCGGTCATTGGCAGCATGCCACCATGATCAACTCTATTAAGCTGATTCCACAAAATTATTGGTGCACCCAGCGACAGGTGTGCAGAAGCGTGTCTCTTGACCTGAGAATATCTGGAATACCTGTGGGCACTGCCTTACCGTGCATCAGGAGCTGCTCACATGGAACTGGCTAAGTGCTATGAGAAAAGCAGAATTCCATGGAAGTTCAACAAATTTAGACATCCCCAGGAAGTTTCGAAAGATTTGAAAGTGGAAAAGATCAGAGAACAACTCCTTTGCACAGGTCTTAAATGCTGCAAAGCTGCAGGGTCCCCTCCGGTGAATGCATCCATTTGATGTGACTGTTTCTCAAGATGATGGTTTGCTTATGCTTCATAGGTCCATTCGAAACTGCATGATTTGGGGGATCTTGAAGTTGGAGAAACATCTTTCTTGCGAAAGCTGCCCGGAAACATGGCTTACACCAATATGTCTCGAAAATCCCACACATATGATTACTGCTAGTTTCGGCAACCATCGAAAAAAATCGGGGTCAGCAACTTTAGACCACACCACAATTTCCCAATTTTGATCAATTTTGGATAATTTTGGTCTCATTTTTTGGGGCTTCCTTGGCTCTCCTCACCGCCATGAGGCAAATATGTGCGTCGAAAAGGTGGCTGTCGAGATGGCGAAAACTGCCCAAAATGTGGGGTCTCAGATTAATGCCCTGGGGAGGTTCTGATCATCAGAATTTTCCCAAAAACGCTGTTACATACTGCTACAGTAAATGACTGATGTGTATCACTGTTACAGTAAATGACTGATGATGTGTAATTGATGTGTATGTGTTGACTGTAATGGTCATATTTGGACAGTTGCAAATGGATTCATTTCGAATGAGGGTCAACAATAAATAAATGATTCGACCTCCTAAGGAACTCACCAACATCCACGATTTCTTGATGGTTCCGCCCATATTTGTGGGAGCTCGGGCCACTGATTTCTGGGGGCTCAGGCCACTCTTGTCAATGGCGTCGAGATGGTGCGAAGAATCTGCGGCAAGATGAAGAGGCTGAAGCCATCGAGGTGGGAACTTGGGCCCCTGGGGCTCCTTGGGCCCCGATCTATGCAGGGCATAAATATTGGAATATCATGAAATATCCAGCAAATGGAGGGGAAGGATATTGGAGAGGGACATTTCAATGAACCGAGTGCTCCAAGCCTGCTACTTGAGAGAGAGAGAGATCCTTCTAGCTGGGGCGTTTCCAGATAAAGCCCTCTGCTTCCTACCAGTAAGATGCAGTTATTACTTAGATGCGTGCTAGCATATATCCCAGTGGAAGTTTCTGCGCTCTCTGGTTCAAATTGGAGACGTATGCTAGTCTCCTGCTCCGCATAGTAAATGTATAAATGTTGGAGAAGAGTTTCGGAAGTCGCTGTGGCATGCCAACTAGGGCTTCCATCTAGATACAAAAATTCTAAGATGATCCAAGAGGTCAAATATGAAATGGGAACTGTGACTATATAAATATGCATCTGTTGTCTTTTGAGGCTTGGCAAGACATCCAGCCACCCTGAAACAACTGCCGTTCACAACAGCATTTTTCCATCGATCGTGTCGTCCACCTTCCTGGGTGAAAGTTCCTATGGGCCTATCGCCTGACAAGTCACATGTTTCTGAATTCCACCGCATTTTTCCAGTTTTTTTGAAATAAAGACCATCCAGGTTTTTTTCACTTTTTTTTTTCCGGGGGATTTTGTTGATTCCTAATGTTCGATAATTTTTGCCCAGGAATAAATATTGGGAAATAATTGATTCTTGCATTTAGCTTGCGGTTGCAAGTCATATGTGTGGAATGTTGAACCAAAATGTCCACCGGAGATTTTGGCTCAAGCAACCCCCGTTTTTGTGATCTTGGATTCAATTTCAAAGTCTTTTCGATCTTTTCGCACGACGTTGCGATTTCCTCTGGTGATGAGTGGGAACTTCTTTCGGACCCTCGCCGACTTCTTTGCACTCCCAAACAAATCGACTGAGGACCTCACGGAGGAACTACAAGGAAAAATGATGGACCTCCAGACTGTCCGGCGATTTGGATGAGCAGACAGACCCCATGGACGTCCAAGAGGAGGAGACCCAAGGGAACATGGAAGTGACCACGGAGGACCCTGATCTCCCACGTGGCGGTCTGGGCTTTTCTGCGGGTGAGAGCGGAAGCTACCCCGATGCCGGACAGGTGCCTCTCGCCCCGAAGGCGGAAGGGTCAGGCACTTCCCCCCCAGGATTTGTACGCCCAATGGTGCAGCCAATGGTGCTCCAGCCGGTGCGCTTCATGCTGGACCCCGAGAACCATGCGTTCAGCAAGTTGGTGGCTTTCCGGGCTTCGTATCCAAGCATTTCCCAATTACTTGGTGAATATGCTCCAATAATGCACCGAGGAGGAGCTGATGGACTTATTCTCCCGCTTCATGCACCTGCCCCTGTCCGAAGCGGTTGCCCGATGAAGGCACTTCGGGGACGATCCAAAGATGGCTTGGGTGCTGCTACCTTGAAGACGAGGGCCGCTGGGTGCCCAACCATACGAGTACATGTGCAGCACATGCACAGCTGGCTGGCCGGATCGGGCCAACGCTTGCTTCCTCTGCCAGAAGGGCACCAAGGTCCCCTACGAACCGCCATCGGCTTCCTACACTATGGAGGGGATAGTCTGGAACTTGGTGCCACTAGATGGTAAGCCCACTTGGGTGCAGTCACCCGACACAGCGAAGGGTGCCGTCGGCCCCGAGAGCGACGTTGGGACGTCATCAAAGTTTGCCAAATCCATTGATGCCATCCAATTTGCTCAGGCACCAGCAGCGACGTGTTCCTTGGACGAAGTGACCATGGCTGACGTGGTTCCCATGGCCTTGCGGATGAGCATGCGGGAGGAAGTGCTGGGGACGAGGACGCCAAGGAGGCTGCCGAACTTCTCCTTGAGCAGAAGCGCAACTTCAAGGCCCGACAAGGCTCTGGACATTCAGAGCAAAGCCATCCACAAGGCAGACCAGGACGACGAGGAGACCAAGCGCCAGAAACCGCGGCGGCCCTCAACATGGAAGTCCTGGGCCCTCTGCAGGAGGGCATGCATTCGGTGGCCGACAGCGAGGCCTACAGCAAGGGAGTGGAGATGCTGCGGAAGACCAACCTGGAGATCTTGCGCCAGAAGATGAAGGAGTCGTTGCTGGACAACCAGTCCAACACCCTGGAGGCCATTGAGCCTTGGGAGTGCCCCTCAGTTGGAAGAAGACACATCTTGTGGAAGTGAACACCTGGCTTGGCTTTGTGATCCATCCCAACATCCCTCAGGTCCAGATGACCGCACCAAAGCACACCCTAGTGCTGGAATTTTTGGAGCTCGTGATCCAGAATACTGCTATGACTATGACATCGAAAGCCATTGAGCGAGCCCTGGGCCGTCTTCAATGGGCCACGGCGGTGTGCCCCCTGACAAAGAATCTCAAGCAACCATTCTGTGCATTGAAAATGGCGGTAACCTCTTCAGGCCGACCACCAAAGACGGTTCGTTTGCTGGCCCTGCTGATGAAGGAGCTCTTCACCATCCCCTACTGTATCGACAGCTTTCCCCTTATCTGCCCGAGGCCTACATCGGTGGATGGTTGTTAGATTCTCAGGACCCGGCCAGACATTCAGTTTATGGGTTTCATGTCCAGATTCATCAGTCCCAGTTCCCCCGGGCTTTCAAAGACGGGAATCCCAAAAAGAGAATTGCAGCTCTTGAGCTGCTGGGCACTTTGGTGCTGACACACTGCGTTTTGAAACTTCAAGGTAAGACTGCTTCAGCTGTGAAAATCCCGGTTGGAAGTGATAACCAGAGCAGCGTCTTCTCGTTGCTAAACCAAGCATCCAAGAAACCCCATACTGCAGCAATTTTGATGGAACTCGTTCTTTTGCTCCATGCCGCTGGCTGCACTTTGGCTCCATGCCATGTACCTTGAGAACTAAATAAATGGGCGGGTGATTTCACACACCCGCTCTTTGGTGGCTTCTCGGAGCTCTACCTCGATGTGAGTGGCATTTTTGCACATTTTAACCTGGTATCCAGACTCACACCAGGTTTGGATATCGCTTTTTCCCACGCTCCCACCTAAAATCCCGCGACCGGATTCGGTGGGTTGTCCTGTTCCCTTTTCACCCCACAGACCAGGAGCTACCAGTCCCGTTTGTTTTGGAACAGCGGATATTTCGACCTGGCACACCTGGTTGATTGAATTTTAGAACTCTACACATACAGAACCATCAATCCCAGTTCAGGGAACCAGGACAAACTGGCACCAACCACTGCGAAAGGTAAAAGTAGTGAAGGTTGGTGCTCAGCTGATGCTTGTGTGAAAAGGACATTTTTTCACACTTACATACATTATGGAACAAAATTCATGGACAATTTCACCCATCGGTAACTTTCAGATTCGCCCATAGAAAATTCTAGCGCCAGGCCAATGTCCAGACTCCTGGGCTCCAACCCACTGCGGAGGCGATGAACATTTAGCCTCCACTCGTGTCTTGACACCGCGAACATATTCAACAACTAATTAAGCTAACATCAGCTAACATAAGCTATGCAATTATATACGTATGTATGATGATGTACAATGTATGCATATTCAACACAACATGCATGTATTTCATGTACATTTGAGTCCAAGGTTTGGGATTAGGGAGCACATCATGGGAATCCGAAAGCTGCGCAAAGTGTCCAATATTCAGCAGCATTCGTTGCCGGCTTCGTGCGAGATCTATGCATCTCAATGTGTTGATGAGGCTGAATCAAGCATGCCCGATGTTTTGGGATACTGGTTTGTCTCAAAAGCGGGGATACCATTCTTAACTCTCCTTTCCATTTCAATTCAGATGAAAATTTGTGGGAAAAACCGTGGGGTCCTGAGTGCCATGGGGTATTTCGTGGTATTTCCGCAGGACGTGGAGGAAGAGCACCAGAAGCTACAGTATGAGCTTCTGGGCCTGTCACGGTTCAGTGGGGTCGTCCAAATTTGGCATGGAAAAAAGAGTTCCACACTACTTGGGGTGGATAATACATGATCAAAGCAGGACGATCTTGAAATCACGGTTCGAAAAATAATAAACACTGATATGATATTGACAATTGGTATATAACAGTGGTTACTGTAGGATGCTACCGATAAGGTTCTATACAGTAAATCCTAAACAAGATCATGGCTACAACGCGGCCTCAAGCATGACAAAACCACCAAATTCGAAGCAATTTCATGTTTTTTCACATTTATTCCATCTTAAAAAAGTATTACAACGTACTGTCATGTACAGTCATATGGTAGGGCAAAGGGTTCAAAAACCTGGTAGCACCTTGGTGTCACTTCAGCCATGAGGCACTTGCCTCTGCCGCAGATTCAGAAGTTGGTGGCCGGTATGGAGTGTCTTGGATGAGAAGTACAGATCGATGGCCAGATGCAAGCAACAGTAGCTATGGAACAGTAGCAGATCAGGTTAGACATTCTCGGAACTGCAGCAGCAGGAGTTTGTTTTGGCACAAGAAGCAACCCTATGTCTACTCATGGGGACCTCCTACCAGAACCTCATAGCAGGACATCTAAGAGAAGTGCAAAGGATCGTCAAAGAAGGACCTTCTATATAGAGGACCTCGCACGATCTGACCCACACAAAGTGCCGAGAGGGTTGTTCGAGCGAAATCAAAATTCGCAGCGCGCCACAACGAGAGTGATCCGACACTCACAAAGTCATGAGACGGTTGTGGGTTTCAGCCACTTTTTTGTCGAGGTCTGCAAAGGGAGGGCTGCGGGTTTATCGACTTTTTTGGTCCAGGTCTACAATGTACTGCGCCTGCCACGAAAAATGAGCCCGAGGCAAACTGCTGCCCAGACTTTGTGCGAGCTTGCGCAGGCGAAACGCACATGGACATCGAAGGTCAGTTTTTATGCGAGAATTTACAGCAAGAATTTACGCGAGAATTTATGGACTGGATGGAGCACCCTGATCTGACCCGCCCCTTTATCTCCTACCCTAAGAACCCCTTAGCGTGGACACGCTCACTGTTTGGGGGAAAAAGGCCTATAGCCAACCAAAAATGGATGGATCCGATGATACGGACATCTCAAACGCTGTCAATGGCTCCCCTCTGAGCTCACCAGGCACCGCCACTGAGGTCGTTGGAGATGTTTCCGTCCATGGGTTCGCTGGGACATCCCTTCACCTGTGCCTCCCCATGCAGGTGGGGTAGTGTGGATGGAGCTTGGAGTTGCCCGAATTGATCCATCTGGGGGAAAAAAGAGTCACCAGAAAGTAATACCTCCATGATTGTTATTCCGGGACTGGCATGGCATTCGATTGATTTCAATCATGTGACACAATATATGATAATTATATTTCATCATTGCATGATGGTTTTGGAAGGTTTTGGCCACCATTGGTATTGGGAAGACAGCGGACTATTCAGCTGATATTCAGCTGTCGATTTCGGGTGTGACAGGCACTTTCTCGAAGGCAACTGCCAGGAGGGATGGGACCCGGATGGGAGGGTTTCGGGTCTGGCCTGCAATCCGCAGTCCCCATGGCCAAGCAAAACGCTTCGGTTTTGAAGTTTTTTTGCTAGAAACTCTTGACTGAACCCACCTTTACTTGGAAATGACGAGAAGACCAGGGAAAATCAGCATGAAAGCGGTTGCCATACTTTTGGTACCAAAGGATTTTGACCTCCTGCATTTTTGAACACACCTTTTCCAACTCCTTATCTTTCCAATTTCCAGGATGGCGCCTTGTGTGCCTTCTGTCATCGCTGTGTGGACCTCAACTGTGTAACTCTTCCATTGGCTGCCCAAGCAGGTAATCTATTGTGTCCGTCGTATATTTTGAGGCTTTGAAGTCTTTTTGTTTGCCCTTTTCAATATATATTCACTATATTCATGATTTTTAGTGTTGAGGTCCTGAAGTCCTTTGTTTGTGGCAATTAGTCAAGCAAAGAAACCAAGAGAATCAGGGTCTTGAAGCCATATCCTCCCAACTTTGTATACGGCATCTACAAGTATCTACCATCTCATGTCACCGATGTCAGAGACCCTGGAAAATATGAGGACCATATCAGTGGATTTTGTTGCGATGTAATTACTCCCATTGTTGCCAGCTGCCCAGGCAACCCAATGTCGTTGCAAAGCACGCCACTTGCCTGCGGGCAACGCTTTTACCTGTAATATCGTGATCTTCAGCTTGGCATTTGCTTGCTCCCATGTTGGGAAATATATGATTTGGACATGAAACTGTAGGCTGTGAGAATGTGAAAACAATTCCACTGGCTGACCTGGGGTTGATCTGGGGGTTCTGTTTGGCAAGCTAAAGCGGTGAGTGGATACCCGTGAAGCACTACAGGGTGACAATGGCTTGTTCCAAAAGATAACATCCAGGAAACAGTGATTGAACCCACTTTTGGGCAGCCTCGAAACTTTTTGCTGCTGGGGTTGCTGCCCTTGCCATCAATGTAGATATCGATTCTCTCTGCAACACGGATCTCAGAGACCAAACCGCTCAACTGCCATCTTGATCATCGGAATGTTCCATAATTGCAGCATAACCAATTGCATATATATATATACAATTATATACACATATGACATGTATCTAAAATATCTATATTGATAGTGTATATATAAACATTACACACTTTATACATATGTATATACATACACATATTTATATACATATATCTACCTATATGAATCTATCTCTTTGTCTCTCTCTCTCTTTCTCTATGTGTAGATATACACGCATACAATTACATACATGCAATTACATACATACATACATACATAGATACATAGATACATAGATAGATAGATAGATACATAGATAGATAGATAGATAGATACATACATACATACATACATACAGACACACACACATACATACATACATACATACATACATACAGACATGCATGCATGCATCCATGCATACATGCACACATGCATGCATACATACATGCATACATGCATACATGCATACATGCATGCATGCATACATTCATACATGCATACATGCATACATGCATACATGCATACATGCATACATGCATACATGCATACATGCATACATGCATGCATGCATACATACATACATACATACATACGTACGTACGTACGTACATACGTACATACATACATACATACATACACATACACATACACATACATCATACATACAATTACATACAATTACATACAATTACATTCAATTACTTACAATTACATACAATTACATACAATTACATACAAATACATACAAATACATACAATTACATATAATTACACACAATTACATACAATTACATACAATTACATACAATTACACACAATTACATACAATTACATACAATTACATACAATTACATACAATTACATACAATTACATACAATTACATACAATTACATACAATAACATACAATAACATACAATTACATACAATAACATACAATAACATACAATTACATACATACATCCATACATGCATACATGCATGCATGCATACATACATACATACGTACGTACGTACGTACATACGTACATACATACATACATACACATACACATACACATACACATACATCATACATACAATTACATACAATTACATACAATTACATACAAATTACACACAATTACATACAATTACATACACATACACATACATCATACATACAATTACATACAATTACATACAATTACATTCAATTACTTACAATTACATACAATTACATACAATTACATACAAATACATACAATTACATACAATTACATACAATTACATACAATTACATACAATTACATACAACTACATACAATTACATACAATTAAATACAATTACATACAATTACATACAATTACACACAATTACATACAATTACATACATGTAATTTCATACATGTAATTTCATACATGTAATTACATACATGTAATTACATACATGTAATTACATACATGTAATTACATACATGTAATTACATACATACATACATACATACAGACATACAGACATACAGACATACAGACATACAGACATACAGACATACAGACATACAGACATACATACATACAGCATCTATTAACATCTATTAGCATCCCGTCCGTCATGTCGTGATTTCGCCTCACCGGGTCAGCTGGTGGGACCCAAACATCTCTGCATTACGGCGACGTTCGCCTGGCGCTCACGAGACGCGACAACTCGACGCGACTTCGCGACGAGGTGGAGGTGTGCATCTGAAAATGGGAACGAATGGAAACTCAATGCAATCAAAGATCATTGAGATTCATTGAAGATGCTGAATCCATTGGTTTAGTGTTCAACGTAATCGACATCGGTTTTGCTCCAGATAGGATGCGCAAAAGAGAAACCGCTGAACAGGATCTACTGTAATGAGGCCGTAACTCGATGTTTGTTTTTCTCACAAAAGTATAGTTGTTTTGTGATTTTATCGTCAATACGGCGGAGACGACTGATTTACAATCCTGAGAACAGCCATCTTTAGGGACCGTTTGTACACCTTTTCATTTGATGCAGTTCTTGGGCAAGAAAAGGTCAAAAATATAGGCAGATTCTATTTATATGAAAGCTGAATAACATCCATTGGATTGACATCGATTTCACTGTTGACATCTGAACATGTTCCTGTGATCTTGATTTGCTACGCATCGCTAGCCGCTAGCGGTCTTGTGTGAAATATATTTAAAAACCTGGAATCAAGAGCTATGTAGCTCCTTGTTTCTCGAGCGAACGCTCGAACAATGGGCTAATGGGGGATGCCTAAAGCAGGCGCTCGGATTGAGGAACCTGCCCTCCTCATGTCGCCACCTTTTGCTTTTCCTTATTTTGAATTTCAAGCTGCCATGGATTCGGTCCAGACAGTTGCTGATCGCACTTGTTTCTGACCTTTTGATATTGAACAAGAATCGAAAGATCCGGATCTGAATGACAGTGCAGCAGTAGCGCTGTTGAACTTGCACCAACAATGAAACTTTATGGTTGAGGTCTTTGGCTGGGAGCCACCATCACAAGAAACACTAAAATGTGCACCTGGGGTACTCCACACAAGTTTTTTTTCCAAATACTTAGGCATGTAGTGGCGTTTGGAAGCAACTGCTGGGCCCAAATTTTTGTGGCAGACCTACGCTGCAAGTCCGTGATCTCCAGGCTGCTGTATTGGTGCAGCTCTTTTGCGACTCACCAAGGCAAGACCAAGGTGAGAGTCCGGCTGATGCAACGAAAAGGCGAGAAGTCATGTATACACATATTATATTACAATATGGTACAGTAAATATATATAAATTACATGTATACAGATATTATATATATATAAATTGAATGTATACATATATTATATATATAATTTATATATATATATATAGTATATATATAATATTGATTATATATATAAATTGTATATATATATATATTAATTAGATATGTATATATAGGCTCGTCCAGGCTTCTGGAACTACATACGATGGGGTAAAGGGGTGGGGTGGGATGTTAACGTTCATGTGAACTTGCGGCAGCAGTTGATGCTACGCACACGCGGGGGGGGGGGGGTGGGGTGGGATGTTAACGTTCATGTGAACTTGCGGCTCGATGTTAACATTCATGTGAACTTGCGGCAGCAGTTGATGATGATGTGATGATGATGATGATGATGATGATGATAATGACCCTAATGAAACTTGTTAATTCCGCGACGAAATTTCGTCACGGAATGGACAAGTTTTACCAACCTAATTCAGGTTTAGGTAGTTCCAGAAGCCTGGACGAGGCTATATATACATGCATTAATTATATATATATATAATCTATATATAAGTATATAATTATATACTTAAATTATATATATATTATTGTATATCTAAATGATATATATATATATAATTTATATATGTATTTAAATAATATAGATATATAAATACCAACTATATATATATATTATAAATGGTATATACACACTTATTTTGTATAGACCCATAGGCGTGTTGATCCTCTTCATTTGCTGTTCGGGTTTTGAACATATGATTCGAATATCCGAATATCCCTTCAGTACTTTTGTGGGACATCCTTCACACCATCCTGCACCAGTTGATGCGTAGCCAGCTAAGATCCTTTGCCTGGAATCAATCGAACCAAAGGAACACTGCACTGCTTGACGGCTAAAATGGGGAATTCCAGATTTTGGCCGGGCCGGATTTCCCTCCATCTAAGTCTATGACCATGCGTTCTCTTGAGACACATGTCGTGCAGGTTTCAGTACATTTTTACTTTTTCGTGCTTCTGCCATGTAATGTTAGCTGTGGCAGCTACTCTTGTAGATTGTTGATTTGAGCAGTGAAACAATTAATTGAAGAGATTCCAGGGAGCAACTAGAAGCGTTTGGAACAACTTTAGAGATTGCAGAAACTACATTAGAAAGCCTTAGCAAGGATATTTAAAAGGCAAGGCCCTGCGGATTTTTGTATTCGCCAACTTTGGGATATACTTCCAGCCATGTAAACCATTCGAAGTTTGCCAAAGTTGCATCAATCTGTATGTCATTTGAAGGAAAGCTGTGGATCTTGGTGCCGCGGCCACCATACGTCCTGGCAGATGTGGCCGGAGATTGATGAGAAATCATAGTTCCACTGCAAACTGTTCTAAGTTGTTCTATATAAGTTGTTCAAAGTTGTTCCAAAGTTGTTCTAAGTTCCAACTAGTTCAAATTAGTTCTAAATTTCAATAAATGGGTCACGTTTCTGCAGCAAAAAATTGCCAAGTTTTTGCCACACATATATAGGAGTGTCCAGTGGATCACCCGCATTCCACCATATTCCACATGTATAGCCAACCACTACACATATATAGGATACCTATGGATACCTACAACGCCGACGTGGCCAGCGTTTTCAATAGATTTGACGCCAAGATCCGGGATTTGAACCTTTTGGAAGCGACACCGTTCGTGGATGTTCACGGTAAGTCAGCGCTGATGTGATAGCGAAGCTGACGACATGCGAAGAAGATGACAGGCCACACATGACATGACACGGGTTGATGGATTTTGGCACCACTGGCAGTTCATTGCTGGCTGATGTTCTCTTAGGTTCTGACGCTGAGCGTCTTTTGACCTCAACTCTTTCCAAGCGATAGGAATCAAAATATCTTTTCTCTCACTCTCAAGCAATCATGCCTCAGCCCCCCTTTTGAATATGCCATCCGAGAACGGACTTGGTCACCTAGTGAAACTTGAAGCTTCCTAAAGCAGGTTGCAATTATATTTCCATTCCTACCTATGCTATTTGAAGGTGTGCTGCAT